ATGGGCTATTCAGCCCAAAGGTTAGGGCCCATGTCCAAAACTGGGAAAGGAGCCGAATGTTCATGGCCAAAATCAGGAACCAGAAAGTCAAACTAAGGGTCAGCAGCTAGAGACAGGAATAAGTATCAGCCCAGGAATCACAAGCTGAAATCAGAAACCCACAAGAAGAAATTACAATTGCAGGGCACAATGCAGAGGTGGATCTGAGAATGTACAGTACGATGTGCAAACGGTTGAACTGGGGTTCCACCTCAGGGAGCTGCTTCTGAGTCACTGCCTGACATGCTCTGGCTACCCCCTTAAAATCAGGTCCAAACTGCAAAGAACCTGATTTATTACTACAGAAGAAGGTCTTATCCTGAATTAGCAATGCAGGGGATAATTTGAAGATAAGGCAGTTGGTATATCCGTGTGAACAGTACATACAGTATATATTTGCTTTAATCATGCTGCAAATGGGACAGCCATCTGCCAGCCCAGTGCTGGTCTGCGTTGGCTAACAAGCATGGTTACTAGCAGAGAGAATTCCCTTCATTTCTCACAAACCCAACAGCCAGCTATAGTAGACATATTTTTGCAGAGGTTGACTGCATATAAAATTCTCCATTTCTACACCACAACTACAATTAGTCTTACAATAGATTCTGGGTTAAATGTTCTTTATGCTTGTGATTTTGAGAAGACATATTGTCCTGAGAGTGAGGGCAAAAGCTTAAAAACATCTTGGCACAAGAAAGATTAATATTCACATATGTTACACATATCTACAAGAATATCCAAATGAGTAGTAAAACAAGTGCCAGTAGAAAACTATCTTGTTGCATCAAGATAATTGCAGCCGCAGAAAAGAAATTCCATTAAAAGTATGGCAAATAAGCCAGACTTCTGCCCTTCCAAACTGTCTGGGTGTTGAGAGAGATTGAAACCCTTCTCAGTATCATACCTGTTAGGCAGATTAATAGAAGACTACCATTTCTGCTGCTGACACTGCCAGCTCCAGATGCATTACATCCACATGCCACTTTTAAATTCAGTACTAGCATGTAACTTCCAAATCTGTTAAAAGCAGGATTGAATTAAAATATCACTATGTGAAGAAGGGTAGAACGGGCCATGAACTTTTCCCTGTTCACACATAGATCTGCTCATGCAAGTTTTGGAGCCACTGCTTTGAAAGTCCTGCATATCACTTGACTGGAGTGTTCTGCATTATTACAGCAGTGCAGCTCTTTATAACAGTTCTCAAACTTTTCCAAATGGCTAAATCTAACTTAGGTATGTAAGATATCCTAGACATATAAGAATTTAAATATGCAAATATTGTGCAGTGGGTCAGACCACCAGCATCTTTCTTAGAAAAAAATCATGTTGAAGATTTTGCTATGACTTCACCCTAGTTTTCTACATGAAAGAAAAATATTGTCTGACTTCTTTCATAGCATATTCTACATCTTATTGACAAATCACTTATGACACTAATTTATTAGCATAAAAATATTACTACACTCAAGACAGCCTGGTTTGATTTACTACATCAGGGTTTTTCATATGCCAAGGTCCTATCATCTCTGCTTGATCATTAAAAGACCCTTGGGGTTTTTGCTTCTTTTTTTTTGTACAACAGAAGAGTTTTGCCCTGTTGCTTTGGCTAAAATCCTGAATATTGGAATGGCTTTGCAGCTCAAAGGCAGATTCACTAAGCTGATCCTCAGGAAATACAGGATGGTGTTTTTTTTCAGAACTGTCTTCTTCGCATTAGCTCTTAGCCATTAAAGTCAATGGCAAAGTAGGGAAAAAGGGGGCTATATAAATACAGAAAAGTAAAAATAATGACAATTAGAGACAAGATGCTTAAATTGCAGTATTGTTTTTATCTTCCTTGTGTGAAAACTACCTTTATTACATGCAAAGGAAGGAATGGAACTAAATACATGCATCTCTTTTTTCATTTAGGTAATGTTTCGGGGGTTGATATCTGCTTAATTTTGTGAAATTAAATTATAGAAGCTGGACCCTTTGACTGTACCCAGAGTCACTTGCTGAATTCCACAGAAGACAGAGACATGGATAAACGTAGGAATTAAAGTCTTTTTGCCACATTGTTTTATTACAAGGAAGATACTGGCTTAGTTTGTAAGGTGCTGTTCCAGGTTTTTTTCTCTCTCCCACTTTGTTTCCCTAGGGCAGCCATGCACAACCAGTGATTGGCTACTGGTACCAGTCAGAGTAAGCAAGCCCTGCATCACTAATACTCCAGAGCACTAGAGTCCATTCAGAAAACTGAGACTACGATGAAAACTTACACTTTATCATTCATATAAATTGATTAGTTATTTTGAAAAAGAATGCAAGGTTTCATTGACCTAAAGCTTGTGGCTCAGAAGAAAACCATAAAAAATCTTTTTGCTTATATTCAATTCAAGGATCTTTATCTGATAAAATTAACAAATACATCTTAACATGTAACTGAAGATAACCAATTATTTTATCTTGTTTCTACTTCTTCAGCCAATAATAATTGAAACCACATAAGCCAAAACAATTTCACTGTCATTTAAAAATGAGCTATTTAAATGAGAGAGGACTAAAAAATCCAGTCACATTTTTAAATCTTTCATGCATGATTCTCAGAGATTTTTATATACATGTTTCAGCAAAGGCTATTTTAATTGTAGCAATAATTTGAATACCTGTTCAATGTGAACTTACCAGTCTCTCAGCTAGACCAGATCACGCTATATATATTTCCAAAGAGTATGTTCTTTTTATGTCTGTAAAGTAAACAATTCATTTGCTTACAAGGAGGCAAGTTTGCTTATTAACACAGGAAATAAAAGCATGCTGATGTTATATATTCAGCATGAAATATAGTACAAAATTTTAAAATATGAATAATATATCAAAATAGTATATAGGTCCAAGTTCAACTTATATAAGTAAGCAAAAGCTAGCTGGTGATCATTTAAGTTGCACTAATGGAACATGCCCTATACATGCAGGCACACACCTTAAAAGCTGTGAGAAGTATACTTGCTCCGTTTGATCTTCACACCACCCACCAGCACGGCTGATAATGTACTGAAATACCCTAATTTTTTTCCTTCTCTCTTCCTCTCCAGCAGATAGGAAAGCACAGTATATACTCAGCTGCTTCTAACTCTCACTTGGAAACAAAATCTTTAATAGGAACTTTGTACACGCATATATCAAAAAGTCAGCACATCTCATTGTCACATATGCCACACATTAGAAAGCTTGCTCTGTCCTAGGATTGCTGAGATACTTGGCAAGACAGATGGCCAGTCTCCCTGTCTCCCTGATGGCGTCTGCACTGCTGCAGACTTGTCATGTAATTCATTGAATTGAACTTAGCACATAAATTTTCAGTTATGACTAAAAAATTGGAAAATTCTCCACAGATGAAAACCACATGTCCATGCTGTTAGTCAAGCAGAGAGCACTTTGGGGAACAAGAGCAGGAACAGAGGATCAATCCCAGAGTGTGTGACATACAGAAAAGAAGAATAAGCTAAAAGAAAAGAAAATTGAATATGTGCTAGTTTCAGTATTACCAACGTATAGAGTAATGAGCTATCCAGATATGTCTTCTGCTTTTAATACTTACCTTGCATACAATTTTGTTTTATTTGAAATATGATTTTTAAAATTAAATCATACAACTAAAAGTCTTAGTGCACAAACAGTTCTACTAACAGGTCTACTAAATATGACACAAAATGTCGTCTGCAGGCCAGAAAGCCAACCATATCCTGGGCTGCATCAAAAACAGTGTGACCAGCAGGTTGAAGGAGGTGATCCTTCCCCTCTACTCTGCTCTTGTGAGACCTCACCTGGAGTACTGTGTGCAGTTCTGGTGTCCTCAGCATAAAAAGGACATGGAACTGTTGGAACAAATCCAGAGGAGTGCCAGGAGGATGATCAGGGGACTGGAGCACCTCCCGTATGAAGACAGGCTGAGAAAGTTGGGGCTGTTCAGCCTGGAGAAGAGAAGCTGCATGGAGACCTCATAGCAGCCTTCCAGTATCTGAAGGGGGCCTGTAGGGATGCTGGAGAGGGACTCTTCATTAGGGACTGTAGTGATAGGACAAGGAGTAACGGGTTCAAACTTAAACAGGGGATGTTTAGATTGGATATAAGGAAGAAGTTCTTTACTGTAAGGGTGGTGAGGCAGTGGAATGGGTTGCCCAGGGAAGTTGTGAATGCTCCATCCCTGGTGGTGCTCAAGGCCAGGTTGGATGAAGCTTTGCGTGACATGGTTTAGTGTGAGGTGTCCCTGCAAGGGGGTTGGAACTTGATGATCGTAAAGTCCTTTCCAACCCTAACTATTCTATGATTCTAACTTGTTTTACAGAGCATTGTAAGTATCTGTGCATCTTACTGATATAACCCAGTATGCATTAGGAAGAAGGAAGGAGTAGTGGAGAGTTTGCTAGGAGAATAAATCCCTGAAACTTTAGCTGCAGAAAAGCCCTCTTACTCTACTTCTCCAGTGTGAACAAGGCTGAATGCAAAAGACATGCAGGAAAAAATAAAATCTGAAGTGGAGAGCAAAACAAACAAACAAATCAGAAACAAATAAAAACCCAGCCGAAGGACAGCTGGAACAAGCCTATTTCAGACTATTCTTGTTTTCTTTATTCCAGTATTCTTGCCAAAGGAAGTTCCTCTTTACTTTCTTATGACATCTGAATTTGAATGAGAAGAGGGAAGCTAGATGGAAAGAGGGCTTTCCTGATAGCCTTACCTGAAAGGATACAAAAACGGGAGCTGAAGGTTGTGTGAACTGAGAAGAAAACAATTCACAGGCACAGATTCTTAGTGGAAGAATATTAATTTCAAGATAAAAATTCTTGCAAATAATATCTGCATGTGCACACTCTTTTCTTGACGCTTTTTTTTTTTTTTTTATTTAAGAGGGGGCAGATAGCAGAGTACTATTCTAAGGGCCTCAGCCCAAATAAACTCTGATTTTTACTTACTTGTTAGGTCTCTCTCAATGCTAGGATCCCAGCAGGTCTGCAGCCAGCTAGTATCAGCAGAGTCCTAGTGCAGGATCTGGTTCTTTGTTCAAGTAGGCATCAGGTGGGATGATTCTCAAACTATCAGCTGAAAAAGAAAATAAGAAATTTTAAACAAAAGCAGATACAGCCAGATGGAAAAGGAAAAGGAGTGACCTGCAAGTGATTTTCCATTTTATTATATTTCTAAATGAAGTCAAGTGACAGAGAAGACTGTCATGAGAACAGGGGAAGGGGAAGGCATGAGAGGTACAGATATTCACTTATCTACTTCAGCAGAGCCAACAATCAGAATAGCTGCTACCTTGCAAACCTGGTCCAAGTTCCTCTTTTGCTTCATTTGGACTATATGCCTGAACTTCAGCCTACTACCTTAGCCAATGCAACCTTACTAACCTTAAGACTGTAGGAGCTATTCTCCTTCCTCCAATTGTACCTTCCCCTACAAATATATTGATATAAGGTCAATGCCAAGAGAAAGGAATTAAAGAAACCCACTCCACACAGTAGGTAATAACTTTACAGGGGCATCTTTTTGGGTAAGGCAAGCCAAGGCTCAGAACTATAGTTACTGCCCAGCAGTTTTATCATCTGAAGGACTTCTATCAGTACAGTAAGCAATGTATACGCTTTACACCTGTTAATTTCATCATCTTCTCCTCACCATTTATATGTTTTCAGCATCTTACAGTGCTGGGGAGAGAGGTGGCATTAGTCGCTGTTTCTTAGGTAACAAAGATTTGAAGCACAAGTATAGTGCATCTAGCAGAGATGCCCCAGCCTCAGGAGGAACTTCAGCAGAGGGACCAACAGAAATTGTTACTCACAGGTGCTGCTATGTCATGGATTTGCATCAGTGCTTGATGCCAGTGTCAGTGCTTAACTACTAACCTCAGTGACTTGATCTGTTCACTACAGTGATACGGAGACAGCAAACAGAAAAAACTCCAGATATTCCTGAGTTTCCAAAGTCCAGGACAGGAATGGAACATTACAAGGTGCACTTCCTGTTATTTCTCCTTCCTCATGTCCTCCCAGGAAGGGCTCAGCCATTATAACACATTATTTTGGATCTTTGGACCTTGGCTGGAACTTTTTTTCTTCCCTTTTTTTTTTTCTTCTGAGCACGAAGTAGGTCATGTGCCTATCTGAACCAACCTGTATACACCACCGTCTGATGTGTTCACTGAAGGGTCTTTGTTAGCTTCTCAAGTACACTCAGAAGTGGAAGGTAAGACCTGTGATAATAAAAAAAGCACAGGACTAACCTATCAGAGGAAGGCTTCTGTTTGGTGGACTCAGGGATGTTTGCAGGAAAGAAAAAAAAAAATCACATATAAACACAGAAATCCTTTGGTTCAGTACTCATATTTTTGGCTACTAGAGTCTTTTCTTGCATCCTGTTTTCGGTTGTGGCTCTCAATGTTTAAATTTACGGAACCCAAGGAAAAAGAAACTGTAACACAAAAGGACCTTTGATGTCTGAGAAAGTTTTCTGCATACCCACGTTTCTTTCAGTGAAATGAGATGCCAGCAGTCTGCCCAGACCTGTGGCATGCTGTGGGCACTGAGCATTGGTGACTTGGTTTAACACCCATGGTTTACCATCCTTTCCTTGAGAAAGGATGTGGCAACAGATAGGAAACTTTTCTTGTCTGTAATACAGCTACAGCATTGCCTAAAATATAAATTCCTCCAAGGGAATTCCTCCTCTTGAGTATAGCAGCCTTTGCTATGACAACAGCTAATCAAAAAAGCTGCACAGGTGGGGTTTGCAGACCTTCTGAAAAAGAAAGTTGGGGTTAGCTTGGTAAAAAGGCTTTGAAAGAGGAAAACAAGGAGGATCTGAAAGGATATCCAGGTGTACTAAGTTCTCTTCACCCTCACAGTGTGGAACCCCGTTATTGTCACACAAAGGAAACCCATGGACTAGTTTTTTTCATCTTATTTTTTTTTCTTAAAAAAAAAAATAGTTCAGTTTCATCTCTTTTTATATCTAGAATTAGTTCTTTTACATAATTTTTCCTCATTTAAATAAATCTCAGGAGGAAGGAGAATGCAAACACAATATTTCCTGCATGTATTATTTTACTAGTCAGTGCCTTCAGTGGGGTTTGGTTAGGTTGCTCTATTATTCAGCACGTTATTTCCGAACAATTCAGTGACTCCTTCCAAAATGTTCCTTCTTTAATGAAAGGACACATCTGATACACCAGAACAGAGAACGGGAAGTTTTTATTGTTTGCACTGGTAATCTTAAGCCAACTATTGCTTATCCCAACTGCGTCAGATAGCACAGCAGACAGAGCCGGCAAGCCTTCCGACACTGAACTCTGAACTTCGGCCAGACCTTGCCCTGGTCAGCTCTGTGACAGGAAAGCAGGCAGACTTTGAACCTGGGGCTCTGGGGCTGCTGCAGGGTTATGAGCAGAGAAACAGCTGCACTTTGCAACATGAACTTTGTACTTAGACACATGCACATTTAATCTCTATAATAGAGACTTTGTTTCATTACTAGTTAACATCTCCTCCTTGGGTAAAGGTCTTTGTTAATGAAGCTTTAAAGCATGGTGTGAGGGGTTTTTTCCACCTTCCTCCACCGAAAAATTAAACCCTACCACCTGATTTGATGGGATTATATTAACTATTGAAAAGCTTAAAAAAAAAAGCCCAACAAAACCAAAGTCAGACTTTATGCACCTTCTGAATACTGTAGATATTTGTCATGTACTTTCTTCTGAGCAACTCAGCTGTAATAACCAGAGCTAATTTCAGAAATCAGGCAATATTCTGAAGCCTGTCTTTGCAGAATTCACTTCTTGAGATGGTACCCACAGTAACTCAGCCTGCAGCAAAATTCAACCTTATTCAACAAATCAAATAAATAAAATAGTAGGAAAGTGTCAGCCCACTAACAATAAAAAGCCATACTTTACAAAACTGCCATGGGATGTTTTGAAGTTGTACAGCTTTTTGCTACTGCTTTTACTTTGGAGAAGTGTCAATGCTTGGCATCTGCATATTTCACTATAAAATATGCACATAGCACAGCAGATACATAGAGGTGTTGAAGCCCTGGATGTATTTGTGCATTATCTGTTTCTTAGACCTCACTAAGATAAGACTTTGATCTGGAACAGAAGCCTGCCTAAACAAGGACCAAATGTAAACCTCAGGTTTTTATTCTCCTCAAGAGAAGAGCTACATAAAATGCTTAAATCGTTTCTGTACCAGAAGTTAAAGCTGAAGATGCACATATGCATTTATTGCAACACAGCCTAGTAACAGAAAGGTACTGGAAGATCCTGCTAATGTCCCATTGTGTCCTAGTTGTCATAATAGTATGGAGTGGCAAAGAAGATTAAGAAAGTACATGTTTCGTGAGCAATTCTTTTATACAACTAGGATAAAACAAATACTTGGAAGTATATTTTCTTCTTCAGATACCACAGGTGTTTGTCACAGTCTGTTTGGAAGAAATTATGCAGAGACAGAGGGATCACAGTGACACTTTTCCTATTTTCCATCACTACCATCTTTTCAACATGAATTTCTTTCCATGCCTCTGTGGTGAGCTTGTTTTCTCTCACCTTTGTTTTTTCTTTCCATATGAGGCGGGGAGACACACATATACTCACCCCACCCACCTTTCTTTCCTCTTCATTAACAGAATGATACAAAAAAAGGAAATTTTCACCTACTTTGAAAAAATAGGAGGGAAAAGAATAAGTCCAGTAAAGAATTTTAAAACCTCTCCTTTAGCTGGGCTGGCAGGACTCAGAAACAATTGGGTGAGGATGGTCAGCTCCTGGGTTTACTTGTGAGAAGCCCTTGACTTTTCTTATTTGGATCTATTTGTTTACCCACTACCTTCACTGCACTGCTTTGAAAGCATCATCATTCATCTAATCCAAGAGTTTGATTTGCATTGTTTACAGAGTTTACAGACTGACAGAAAATGACAGAATTACTTTTTTTGTGTTGCTTCCATTTTGGGTAACAGTACTACCCTCCTGCAACTGCAAAAGCAGATGGCACAACTACAAGAATGTTACATTGCATTGTTTTCTTTTCTCTATCCAGAAAATCATGCTTTCTTCCCCTTGTGGTGCCCCTCCATCATAAGGCATGCATTGTGCATACATTATGCATGCCTGATCACCTCACCCCTGGACATGGCCATCCCATCATACAGGTCTACCATGATGAACATAAATTTCTGCTGTCACTAAGAATAGACACAATCATTTAGAATAGGTCCTGCTTTATTTCCGGCTACAGATTCTGAATGTTGTTAGACAATAAAACCTTTAGGTTGGATCTCAGATAACACCTGCCTGCTCTTTCCATGAAGGGTGTCAGATCACTCCCTGTTCATGAAGACCTGTACCAATTGCTTAGCTAGGGACAGCCGCTGATGTGAACATGAATGAAGCCAAGCAAACCATAATGTCTCTGTGAACAAAGCAGGCAAGCCTTTGAGAAACTATGATACCTTTAATTAAAATAAATAATTAAAAATGAATAAACTTGGAAAGAGTGCAGAGAAGAGCAATAAGAATGATTTAGGTCTGGAAAAAAAAAGTCGTCTTCTAGTGAGCCACTGAACTAAATGTGTTTTGCTTCAAAGAGAAGATTATAATCTTTAAGCAACTGGACAAGAAGAAGGTATTTCAGAAGACTCTAAATTAGTGGGAAGGCACACAACAGAATCCAATATCTGCAAATTTAATCTGGAGATAAAAAACACGTTTTAAGTATAATTAGCTAGTAGGATGAACTCTCAAAAGATGCAGTAAATTCTCCATCACTAAGAAACTATTTTAATTATTGTATGATGAGTTTACACTACAGCCCAGAAGTCTCAGTCAACACAGGCCTGAAAATCTTTAAGTTTATCAGGCTTCTATCACAAGCCACCTCCTCTCTCTGAAAATTGTTCTTGTTACTAATTCCAGATTAGATGTTTTCTTCCCAGGTAATCCAAGGTGGGAGAGCCATGACAAATGGATAATTAGTGCATAAAACATGAGGTCACGTAGGCATTATTCATATAATACTAACATTCCTCAGTGAAGTGCTTCCTGG